GAAGCATGATAAAATCTCTTGCCTGCCGGCTCCATCCCAGCCAGAACAAAAATCATCCCTTTGTCCAGTGTCTCCACGCTCTATGCTCCCAGCCCCTTAGTCATTTACTAGCCCTCTGGGTTATCGGGCCCATAATGCGAGAGAAACAGAGAGAGATCACATTCACATAACTTTGATTATAGTAGATTGTTATAATTTTTTCATTTTATTATTAGTTGTTAATCTTTATGCCTAATTTATAAATTGAACTTTATCATAGGTAGCTATGTATAGGAAAAAACATCTATATACATAAAAGGCCAATATGCAAAGTGTCCCTTTGGGAGTTCCACCAGGAGATTTGGAGTACGATTGCTCACTAGAAAAAGAGGCAGTGCAGAATGAAGAAAGGCCCAGGCCTAGGAACCCTACCTTTGCACAAATTTCATGCAACAGGCCTCTAATATTATATACATAGGGTTTAGTATACTTTGAATATTTCTTGCTAATCCCTTCTGGCCTGCCAAGTTTCTGTTGTGAAATTAGCTGATAGTCATGTGGGTATACCCTTCTAGGTAATTGCTGTTTTCTCTCGCAGCTTTTAAGATTCTCTCTTTGTCATTAACTTTTGGCATTTTAATTATGATGTGTTTTGGTGTGGGCCTCTTTGGGTTTCTTTTGTATGGGACTCTCTCTGTGCTTCCTGGAGTTATAAAACTATTTCTTTCAAAGGTAGGGGAAGTTTGCTGTCATTATTTCTTCAAATAGATTTTCTTTTCTTTTTTTTTTAAATCAATCTTTATTGTTTATATTATTACAAAGGTTCCTCATTTCTTCCCCCCTCCACCAGGTTCCCACCCCACCCTCCGCCCCCTCCCCATCACCCATTGTCCTCATCCATAGGTGCACAGTTTATATTCAGTCTCTTCCCGCATCCACCACTCCCTCTTTCCCAGATAACTGTCAGGCCACTCCCCTCCCGTATCTCCGACTCTACTACAATCAACAGCTAATATTGTTCATGAGGTTTTTAAATATCCCTTTTTTTTGGTGGTGTTGTGTGTGTTTTTTTTAATTAATAAGCTTTTACACTTCTAAGAATAAGTTTTAAATCTAATAATTTTAAACCTTGTTTTTTTCTGCCATGGGAACTGAGAAGCAAACTTGTTTACATGTAAACTTGTCCTTAGGCTATCAAAAGGTGTAGCCATTCAAGTGTAAATGAACACATTATTTAAAGATAGCTGCTGGTTGGAATTGGATTACCTGTTCTGGGTGGGAAGGGCTTGTCCTCAACTTTCTCCATTAAAATTAAGGTGTTAGCTTTAAAACCTCTTTTTGGCAAGAGACCTTAAACTTTCAAAACTTTAAGTTTTTCAGGTAGTAAATCAGTTACTTAGCATTTTCTCAAATCAATAATACCTCCACATGCCCAAGGATACACTTCACACAAAAGACATTTCCAAATAGATCAACCAACCTCATCCAGACCCCACACAAGGCACTCACAGATCATCACCCGCGCGCTGTACTAACTCAACACATCCAGATCTAAGCCTTCATCACTTGATTTAGCAGACCCTCAAGTTCCCCCAAAAGTTTCCAGCCATGTCTGAGAGGCAGCCCTGGGGCAGGGACAGACGAGGAGGGAGCTGTTCCAGGCCTGGGTGCTCCGGGCCTGGCGTCTGTTGCTCTGGTCCACTCCACAACCAGCTGCTCCAGGTCTGGCCACTGCCGCTCCTGGCCTGGCTGCTGCTGCTCCTGGCCTGGCTGCTTCCGACCCGGCTGCTCCGGGCCCGGCTGCTCTGGGCCCTGCTGCTCCCAGCCTGGCTGCTGCTGCTCCAGGCCTGGCCGCTCCAGGCCTGGCTGCTGTGCTCCGGGCCTGGCTGCTCCTAACCCGATTGCTCTGGGCCCGGCTGCTCCGGGCCCAGCTACTCCAGGCCTGGCCACTCTGGACTGGCTGCTCTGGGCTTGGTTGCTGCTGCTCTGACCCGGCTGCTCTGGGTCCAACTGTTCCGGGCCCGGCCACTCCGGGCCTGGGTGGTCCTGGTCTGGCCACCCTGGGCTTGGCCGCCTCTGCCCCAGGCCTGGCTGCTCCAGTGCTGGCTGCTGCTGCTCTGGTTCTGGCTGCTGCTGCTCTGGGGCCCAGCTGCCACTGCCTTGTGCCTGGCCACTCTGGGCCTGGCTGCTGCCATTCCAACATTCTGTCCTTTTTTTTTTAAACGCATTTATGTTGCAATGTTGGCTGCTGAGTTGAGTTCTGACTTAGTCTTCGATTTTTCAAGATCTTCTTTGTATTCTTTCTTAAGTAATTTTACTATCTTTTGCTATAACTTGATTTCTTCACATTGAAAACTTCTTCGGTTTCTTCCTCCTCATCCTAGAAGCTCAGCAGGCTGGCCTGTGGCACCCCTTTTTCTCCACGGCCTCCTGTGTGGCTTCAGCCTGTTGCCGGGGTCGGCGCTGCACAGGAAGCAGCCCCTGGCCTCGGCTCCATGGCCTGCGATCAGCGGTCAAGGGCCCAGCAGCATCCCCTGCCCCCAAGGGCCCCATTGCCCGGCTCCTTGCCAGCGCCTGGCTGGCTGGTGTCCGGCAGTGGCTCCTGCTCCTCATCACGTTCCTCCCAGTCTGGAGCTTTTTTTCTCCTTCCCGCTAGGGGAGTCTAGCATCAGAGTCAACAGACTGTCCTCTGCGCACAATGTGTGCGACTCTGGAGGCTCTGCCCCTCACCGTTCCCCTGGGACTCCGCCTCACAGCCTCGTCTCCCTCTGTTTGAGCCTGGGTCCCCAGGGTCTGGCCTAGAACTGGGGTTCAGAGCAGTCGGAACTGGGGCTCAGCCCTGCCGGAGGTTTTGTTTCCTTCCTGCCAGGGCAATCCCCATCAGAGTCAACATTCCATCCTCTGGGCACAATGTGCATGACCCCAGGGGCTCCGCTTTTCACCGCTCCCCTGGGATTCCACCTTACAGCCCCATCTCCCCCTGCCTGAGCCTGGGGCTCAGCGCTGTGGGTTCTGGGGTTCAGCCCAGTCCGGGGTTTTTATTTCCTTCCTGCTAGGGAACGCCAGGCAGGCACTCAGCCTTCTCCTCCTCTCTGGCTCCGTCCTCTCCGCGCACGTGCGCGTACGCGCAGCATGTCTCCGTACCTTAGGCTCGTTCAGCTCCTCTGATTTTCCTTCTGGTTTTTTCTTTCCTTCTTGTTGTAGAATTTTCAGTCAGTCAACTACCTGTAGCTCTGGGCAATGTCCATTTTATATTTTAGTTGTATTCCATTGAAATTGTTGTGTGCGGCTGCGGTTAGGTGTTTACCTGAGAAGCCATCTTGGATCCTCCTCTTCAAATAGATTTTCAATACGGTGCTCGCTCTCTCCTCCTTCTGGCACCCCCATACTTCTAATGTTGGTACTCTGGAAGTTGTCCCAGGGGCTTATTACACTGTCTTCATATTTTTGGATTCTTTTTTCTTTTTGCTTTTCTGATTGGATTTTTTTTGCTTCTTCATATTCCAAATTACTGATTTTATTCTTAGAATCCTCTACTGTCTAATACCTGTAAATTGTTCTTTATTTCAGTTAGTGTATGCTTAATTTCTTACTGGACGTTTTTCATGTCTTTGACATTCATACTAAGATCCTTGAAAGTCTCAGTAAGTCTCTTGAAATGTATTAAGATCCTTGAGCAACCTTATAACTATTGTTTTGAACTCTGTATCCAGTAGTCTGTTTACTTCCATTTCTTTCAGTTGTGACATGTTTCTTTGTCTTTGAATTTTAGCTGCTTCCCTGTGTTTAATTCTATGTATTAGATAGAGCTGTTAATTCTATGAAATTGGTTGAGTGGCCTTCTATATTAAGTGTCTTGTAGCCTCCCCAGTCACCTGAAATGGGCACTCTTGGTGCACCCCTGTGTGGGCTCTGTGTCTATTCTTTATTGTAGTTGAGCCTTGATTCCTGTTAGCATCACTGGGAGAAATTGATCGCCAGGCCAATTGGCTGTGAGTACCAGCTGTGACTATAGCTGTGCAGGTGATACCTCTATGGAGCAGGACTTGCTTCATAAATTTGCGTGTCTTCTTGTGAGGGGCCATGCTAATCTTCTCTGTATTGTTTCAATTTTAGTATATGTGCTGCTAAAGTGAGCACAGGTGGTGGGATATTATAACATTCTACTGAGCAGTAAAAAAACGTGTGATTTCAAAAATTTGTAAACTATTGCCTGGAACAACAGAATTAGTATCAAGCCTTTAGGATATCACTCCATGACTATGAATACAATTTTATTTGATGAGGAAATAAAAAGTTATCTATGTATCTTTTAGGACTTATTTTATTTTATTTCTAAAACTAGAGGCCTGTTGCACAAAGATTCATGCAATAGGCCTTCCTTTCCCTGGCTACCAGCACCGGTTTTCCTCCTACACCTGGACCTGGGCCACAGAGAGCCAAACCTTCAGCCTTCAGGCTCGGCTCCAGCCACAGCGGAACCTTCATTCTTCAGTCTTTGCTCAGGTGGAGCCTTCAGTCTTTGCTCCATGCCTGTGCATGCAAATTAACTTGCCATCTTTGTTGGGTTAATTTGCATACTCATGCCTGATTGTCTGCTCAGCATCATGGAGGTACTGTCAATTTGCATTTTTCTCTTTTATTAGTGTAGATAGAGCATGAATCCTTCTCAATTTTGGAATTGAATGATTATATTTTAATATATGTATTTTAACTTTTATTCATTTTATTGGGGTGAAATTGGTTAATAAATTATACAGGTTTCAAGTGTACAATTCTATAATACATTATATTGCATCATGAATTCACCACCCAAAGTCAAGTCTTTTTCTATTACCTTTTATCTCCCTTTTATCTTCTTCTATCTTCCCCCATTCTTCTTCTAACTCTGGCAATCACTCTGGACTCTTAATTATTTTTAAATGCTAACTTTGTTTATTTTCAAATTGTCACTATTATGTCATCTATTAATTTTGTCTTAACATCTTTCAGAATTAATTGGCAGTAAGATCTCTGTAGCCATGGCTAGTTCTGAAATGAAACCCAAATCAATAAGTCGTGCCAAAAAATGGTCAGAAGAGATTGAAAATCTGTACAGGTTTCAACAAGCAGGATATCGGGATGAAATTGAATATAAACAAGTAAAACAAGTTTCTGTGGTAAGTTTTATTCCTCTATAAATCTGAGCTCAAAATGAGTTTGTTCAATGGTAAAAGTTTTAAAATAAAACAAAGAACTAGAGGATAACTGAAAGGAAATTCTTCTACAGCTCTCTCAAGCAATAGGACATACTTGAAAGAATAGTGGGGGAAGGTAAGAAAGACTGTTGAGGACTATATTCACAGTCCAATTTCTATTAAAAATTGAGTTTCAAGTAAACTTGAAATATAAATGTGAGAAAATACACCCAGCCCTTTAAATATATGAAGTCTAGCTGCTTCCTTTAGTCACTTGCACCATCAATAGTCAGCTCTAGGTGCTTTCAGAATTAGGTCTGGGCTTAGCCCTAATCCCTCCTGGGGTATTACTTTTAGAAATTAAAAAGTAATAATGTTTGGAATCATTTTTAAACATATAAATAAAGTTTAGAATATTTAAAATATGTTTTTTTTCTATCTTGGCAACTGAGTAGAAATTTAAATCTAAAAATTGGAATCTAGAGGGCACCAAATTAGTTTTGCTGTAAAAATATATTAAGATGTGTTTTGGGATGTGTGTAATACTATCTAAGAGGTCAAGTATTTTAAAACTTAATTCTATACTTTAACTTTTTATGTGTTATACTTTTAACTATTTGTGTGTTATACTTTTAACTATTTACTATTGGTAGTAAAATATTATATAAAATAAACCCAGTATGACAATATTTGTATTCTGGTTTTTGATGTGTAGGTAGATCGTTGGCCAGAGACAGGATATGTGAAGAAACTTCAGAGAAGGGACAATACTTTCTATTACTACAACAAACAGAGGGAATGTGAGGACAAGGAAGTCCACAAAGTGAAAATTTATGCTTACTAAGCCTCTGTTGTTTGTGTTACTTATCATCTTTTAATATTTCATTTTTTCATTCTGCATCATGTAAATGTTTGTCCATTTACAAAAGAATTCAAGATGCAGACTTCAACTGAATGTTCTGAAACACAGAAGCCATGAAACCTGGTATCTGTTAATCATCCTATTCTGTTGTAAAATATAACTGCAGAAGCATTAAAATTGTACCTGTCTTGGTTCTGTTCTTTTGATTGTTTTAACTGTGGCAAAATAGCCATCATGCACAGGAAAAATAGCCCCATTAGAAACCACTCCCCTGGTTAGGCTTATTATGTATAGGTAACTGCTCTACCTCACATCCTTCAGCCTTTACCACTTTATAAGACCATCACTTTAAATGCCAGATCTGCATTTTGCAGGCTGAGGAATCCTTTCTCTTGCTTAGGAATCCTTTACCTCTTGCTGAGTAGACCAAAAATGTCAAGAGATAATGGCCTCTGGGAGAAACCTTCAGCCAATGACTGGTGGGGAGGAGATGGATAAATGCCCAGCAACCTAACACCTCGGCAGGAATCCATCTCAAGTGTTTGTTTTATACTGGCACTCCATTTCCCTGCAGAAATAAGTTTCAGTCACCTGCAAGCTGTATCTGAGTTGATCAAGTGGGATTTATTTTCAAGATGTAAGCTGGTTCAATATTTACAAGTCAGTTAACATGATATACACATAAACAAAATGAAGGGTAAAAATTATATCAATATATGCAGAAAAAAGCATCTGAAAAAATCAATTTATGATAAAATATGCTCAGCAAAGTGGGGATAGGGAACGTACCTCAACATAAAAAAGGCCATATATGACAAACTCACAGCTATCACCATACTCAGTGATGAAAAGCTGAAAGTTTTTCTTTAAGATTAGGAACAGGACAATGATTTCCACTTTCACCACTCTTATTTGACATAGTACTCAAAGTCCTAGCCATAGCAATCAGACTATATATGTATATGGTATCCAAATTAGAAAGAAAGAAGTGAAAATTGTCAGTTTTTGTAGATGACATGATACCATAGAGGGTAATGCAAAAGTAGGAAGACATCAGGTTCAGGCTGGTGACTCTACGAGCCCTTACCCATTTCCAGCAAGAGTAAAAACATCTCATACACTCCCCAAATCTGGAAATTTCTTCTGGCTCTGCTTCATACTTTTTGCTTTGAATTATCTCCCTCTCCCCTGGACTATTTTTTTTAAGAGAGAGAGAGAGGAAGAGAGAGAGGTTGGGGGGGGGGGCAGAATCATCGATGTGAAAGAGAAATATCGATAGGTTGCCTCCCGATATATGCACCCTGACTGGGAATTGAACCCGAAACCCTTTTGGTGTTCAGCGACAACACTCCAATCAGTGGAGACACTGACCAGGGCTCTTCTGGATTTGAACCCACATTCTTCATCTCTGCATTGATAACTTTTTTGGATTGTGAGTCTGATTCTAATTCAGAGCATCGTTTCTTCCCTTAGATACTGCTTCTTAGATTGGTCCATGGCTCCATGCACTGCAGCCTAAGAGCTGAGACTGCCCCAAATTGTGAACATTACCAGGTTCTCTGATACCATGATTGAGCCCAGGCCTTACATGTCCAGGGGGAAGAAAAGGGACTAAACGTTAAATCCATGGCATGTAAGTTCATGCTCCTTAAGAGATGGGAAACACTGGTAGACCCTGCCATGCTAATTTTATGCTCAGCCATGGAGTTCCCACCTATTTGGTCAAACTTTATTCTGGTATGTCTGAGAGGGTGTTTTGGGATGAGATTAACATGTGACATGGTAGACTGAGTAAAGCAGGTTGCCCTCCCTAACGTGGGTGAGCCTTGTCCAATCACTTGAAGGCCTAACTAGAACAAAAAGGCTTCCCTCCTGTGAGGAAGGGGGAACTCCTGCCTGATTTCTTGAGCTGGCCCATCAGTTTTCTCCTGTCTTCAGAGTGGAACTCCCCCAGCTTTGCTGACTGCAGGTCTTGGGGCCTGTCAGCCTCCATCAATGCCTGAGCCAATTCCTCATAGGAAATTCCTTATCTCCGGGTGGTTCTTTTTTTCTAGAGAACCCCAAATAATACAACCCTCCTGGATACCACAACCCAGTGAAGATAACAAAGTAAATTCATGATGAAATGAGTAACAGGACCCAGTAGCATGAAGAGAAAAAACATAAATTTTATAGTCTAGAGAAATTAGGGAAAGCTTTTTGGAAAGATTGGGACATGGGCTGAATTTTGAACAGATCAGAACTAGTCGTAGGTGCAGAACTCCCTAGGACTTACCAAGTAAATCTTAAATTGGGTTAGGAGGTCCCTTGGAGGGCAGGAATAATGGCTCGTTCATGTTGGTCCCACTCTTCCTTCTTCGCTTAACTTGGCATCAATTCAGAGGAAGCCTTTCCTCATTTTCTCCAACTCCTTCCCTTGACATGTTCTCACACCACTTATTTTATTTCAGCACATTCTGTTTTAAAAGTCTATTTTCTCATGTTCCCTGCCTCCCTATAGGACTGAGTTCACAGACATAGAAGTCTACAGTGTTTATCTGTCATTGCATCTCTTAGCACCATAGTTCTAGTATGGGTGGTAGATAAATAAATAATAGATAAATAAATAATAGAAATAATAACAAACTAGTAATAACATTACCTATTATTAATGAGTAACAAAACATAATTCTACTAGAGGCCCAGTGCATAAATTTATGCATGGGTAGGGGCTGGCTGGCCAGCCCTGATCGGGGCCAATGTAGTTGATCGAGCAGGGGAAGGAGCCATGGGTGGCTGGCCATCCCAGTCCCCTGGTTGAACTCTGGGTTGAGGGGATAATTTGCTCATTAGCCTTTCATTATATAGGAGGATTATTAAAACTTTGATAGGACCCTATGAAATAAAAGTATTACCAGAATGAATTGGATACATTGGAACATAGAATCCAAGTGAATACCAAAATGGAAACATTGGATAAATATCTTTTCTTTTGTTTCTTTTCATTTGAAAGTGATACATACTTACTAAAGAACATTTAAGAAAATACCCTGAGTAGAAAAATTAAAAATCACTTATGATTCAATGCCCAAAACAAAATATATTACTATTTTGTTATATTTCTTTCTGATCAAAAGCCAGTTTGGCTCTGTGGATAGAGCACTACCCTGTGGACCAAAGGGTCCCTGATTAGATTCCGGTCAAGGGCACATACCTTGGTTGCAGACCTCCCCTGGCCAGAACCCTGTTCAGGGTTCATGCATGAGGCAATCAATTGATGTGTTCTCTCACATTGATGTTTCTCTCTGTCTTTCCCTTTCTCTTCCACTCTCCCTGAAAATCAATGGAAAAATATCCTTCGGTGAGGCTTAACAAACAGACAAAAAAGGACTATAGCTAACATTTAAACTCACAAACTCTCACCATAACTCACAATGGGTTCAGCAACCTGCTCCAGGTCACAGAACTGGCTAAATGTTAAAGCCAAGCTATGGACCCAAACATCTTGGGCTCAAAGCCTTCATTATACCATTTATATTCCTTTTATTATTACACTTACAAATCAAAGCGTGTATATTTATTAAAGTCTGCATTTCATAAAACCTCTAAGAAAATAATATAAGGATCTTCTTTTACTCACTTCTGACATACAAATTGTCTGGTATTTTATTTTTTGTTTTTTAAATAAATCTTTATTGTTCATATTATTACAAATGTTCCTCATTTTCCCCCATCCATTGCTCCCCTCCACCAGGTTCCCATCCCACCCTCTGCCCTTTCCCCACCCCTCATTGTCCTCATCCATAGATGCAGTTTATGTTCAGTCTCTTCCCGCACCCCCTACTCCCCCTTTCCCCGAGAATTGTCAGCTCACTCCCCTTCCATGCCTCTGATTCTATTATATTCACCAGTTAATATTGTTCATCAGATTTTTTAATTCTCTTGGTTTTTAGATTCACTTGTTGATAGTTACGTATTTGTTGTTCATAATTTTTTTATCTTTATTTTCTTCCTCTTCCTAAAAAAACTCCTTCAGCAATTCATATAATTCTGGTTTGGCGGTGATGAACTCCTTTAGCTTTTTTTTATTTGTGAAGCTCTTTATGTCTGGTATTTTAATTCCATATATATTTTAAGACCCATTAGATACTTCTATTTTATACAATCAATGTCCTTTACACTTGCTCAAATATTTACCATGCTTTGTTTTTCATTCCTTCTTCCATCTCAAATCTTCCATAAGCTATCATTTACTTTCTGCCCAAGTATTTTCTTAATATTTTTATTTAAAGAGGGTCTTCTAGCAACAAACTTTGTTTTTACTTGTCTGAAAATGTCTTTAGTTTATCCTGTTCCTTAAAAGTTGTTTTGAGAATTCTAATTTGGCAATTTTCTTTTTAGCACCTAAAGATATCATTATACTCTCTTCTATCTTTTTATATTTCTATTTGTCTAATTGCTCTTCCTTCCAAGATAATAGTCCATCCTCACTTCCTATTGTCTGGCTGCTTTCAATATATATTCTTTGTCTTTATTTCTTTTTTGTTTTGCAGTTTTATTATAATGCCTCTGTATATAGATTTCTTTCTTTTTAAATTATTCTTCTTGAAATTCACTGGGCATCTTGTACCTTTGGACTGGTATCATGCTTCAGTTCTGGAAAAATCTAAGCCATTGTTAATCCTCACAGGAGGATATTTCTTCCATTGATTTTGAAAGAGAGGAAGACAGAGAGGGAGAGAGAGAGAGAGAGAGAGAGAGAGAGAGAGAGAGAGAGAGAGAGAGAGAGAGAGAGAGCATGCCTCTTGACTGGGAATCAAATCTGTGACCCTTCAGTGCACAGGCCAGTGCTCTAACCACTGAGTCATACTGGTCAAAGTTAAGCCATTGCCTCTTGAAAATTGCCTCTCCTTGATTCCCTTTCTTCTCTCCTCTGGGACTCTAGTGGTTTTCTCTTGAGAAGAGTCAATATTATATTTGCATGAAGATACCTCCAGTGTTAAGAAATGACCTGGACCTTGATCATGAGCCATCAGGAAACATCTATTAAATAAATTTGAATATTTGGTTACATTTTAATACAAGTCCGACTGATTGTGAGATGTGCCAGTCAAAAATAAACGGACACAGAAAGACAGGTTTTACCTATTCTAATTGGAACATGTGGGGTAACGTTAGCCTAATTTTATGGAAGATTTATAGATCAATAACATCCCTCAGTTGTAAACACTGAAAATGTATGTATATATCACTCTTGTTTGCCTATTTTCCTTGCCTATTTTCTGTATTTTACATCGTTGTCTGAGAAGAAATCCTAATGAGTCATTCAGGTTGTCCTTCCAGATTCCGTCTGTGTGAAATCACTGCCTCTGTTGAAGCAAGCCTTCCTGGAACTCCTTGCCAGCACACCACCGTAAGGACTTTATAAGTTAAGGCATCTGCCTTGGCTCTAAGGACTGTTCTGAGATTCGCAGCTGAGGACTGAGACTTTTGAGGTTCTTGAAATTGGAGGAGTTCCTGTGGTGTAAAGAGGTAAAAGCTTTTACAAATGGTAGACATTTTGCTAATTATTTTTCTTCTCTTTTCTGAGTATTTGCTGCTCACAAAATTGAAAATATGGCAGAGTAGTGAAGTCTTTTTTTGGACTTCCTAATCTCTTCCTTAAGATTTTAGAGAAAATATAACTATTTAGGAAACCAAAACATTTCTATTTTAAAAACAAACATCCCCTTCCTATGCCAGTTTCTGGTAGGCACTATTTTCTGCTTGATTCACCTGCACGGCTGTTCAGTTGTTAGAGTTTAGAAATGTTGCACCTTTTCTCTCTGTATTAGCTGGAGGCTCAGTTGTGTTTGGAGTCCATCAGTTATGTTGCTTCTAATCCACTTCTTTTTTAAATAGGGGTTGAAACAGTAAACACAGTCAACAGATTTAAAAAGAAATCTGGTCATTCTTCTGTGGATACAAAAGGTACTGAATTTGCCATTGCCCCGCAAGCTGCCAAGACCAGCAACTGGGCGACATCTCCTCACACCATGGAAAAGGAAAACAAAGCTGGAGCAGCCAGGTACACACTGGGTGCAGCTGGGTCCTTGCCCTCCCCAGGTGCTCCGACACTCTGCTTCTGTGAGGCCACCTTGTTTTAGACTGAAAATGCCACTACCCACTCACTTTGCACAATGGTATTGAATTGGTAGCGATTTATTTATTTATTATTATTTTTAAATATATTTTATTGATTTTACACAGAGAGGAATTGAGAGGGACAGAGAGTTAGAAACGTCAATGAGAGAGAAACACCGACCAGCTGCCTCTTGCACACCCCCCACTGGGGATGTGCCCGCAACCAAGGTACATGCCCTTGACCAGAATCGAACTCGGGACCCTTCAGAACGCAGGCCAACGCTCTATCCACTGAGCCAAACCGGTCCTGGCTGAATTGGTAGTGATTTAAAGTGAACGTATACATCCACGACTTGGCTGAAGCACTTGTGTGGATGAGGAGAGGTGATGGTGAGGTGCACGTTTCACACCAAAGTCCTTGTCCCTGACTCTCTAATCCAAAGCTTCCCAAACATGCTCTCCATTCATGCCACTTGTATATTGCTGCTGAGAATATGGGGAAAGGGTGAAGTCAGAACACTGACCTCACAGCTGCCCATAAACTGTTTAGCTAAAACTATTCCCTAAATTGTGAAAAAGGCAATTTCTGAATCAACATTTTTATCATTTTAAATGTGCATATTAGATGTATTTAGCAATGTTATATAGAAATACTTGACTATTATACCTATACTCTAAAAGTTTACATATTCAAGTTCTCAAGAACAAACCATAACACCTTTTTGTGGGGAGGAGGAGGAATTGACACTCACTTTATAGTGGAACATATTATCCTTATAACTAATAATGCTTTCCGTTAAAACATACCTAGTTCCATTTGGGTGAATTAATTGATATGTGTAATGTTAACTGTACTTTTACTTCTCCCCAGGAATGAAAAAGCTGTGAGCTGCTTATACCAAAAGCCTAATGCAGTTTTTAGGCTGATTTGCTTTCCTTGGGCAGGAAGTGGCTCCCTTTATTTTGCCCAATGGGGCAAAAAGATGAATGACTTATTGGAAGGTATGTTAATTTTCAACACCATCAGGGCAATTTATAAGGTCAGATGACCACACACTTATAAGAATTTGAAACACAGTAAAGATTTTCCATATTGGGAGATACATAATAGTAAGTTATTCAAGATTACATTTTAATAACAAATTTTATATTCCTAAGGTAAGAAATCCTGTTACCTTTATTTTTGTTATTATTGGAGTTAGAAGTACTTTTTAGGAAATGGTATTCTAACCTTGAACTTGTTTTGTTTTTGTTTTTGTTTTTGTTTTTTTGAATTTAGAAGTCATGGGGAAGCCAGGTGGAAACTGCCGTCTGGTGGGGAAGTTCCCTGATTTCTGGGTCCCCTTTGCTTTTATTCAATTGAATACACATTTGCCCTTTAGAATGCATACAGGTGTAGCCAAAGTGAAGTTTGGTAAACAGTAAGAGGATCATCAGGTAAGGGGATAGCCTTGAGCCATTTGGCGACAGCATGGCAATATTATGCTGATTTTCAGCCCTGATGAATATCGCATTAATATGCTAACTACTGTTGGTTTTAGCCTTCAGCATTTCTCCCTTTTTGTTTTCTTAATAAATTTCAAAAGGTTTATGCCATCTGCAGGGCTTGGGTTCTTTTTGCACTTGTTTTTAATGTAATTATTAATACGGTAAAATGGAATCTACTATTTTACAATTGTTTTCAATTTGTTCTGAGTTATTCCATTTTCCCTGTTTTGTCCTTTCCTTTTGAATAGTTTGAATTTCTATCTAGAATAATTTTCCTTCAGACTGAAATATTTTTGTAGTGCATGTTGGCTGGCAACAAATTTTCTAAGGAGACTGCAGTTTTCTGTATTTTTGCCTTGACTTCTGAAAGCTATATAATCCTATGTAATAAAAGCCTAATATGCTAAGTGTTCAGTCGTTCAGTCGTCCATTCAACCAATCAAAGTGTAATATGCAAATGACATCCTAAGGCTGCCCAATCGCTCCCTATGATGTACACTGACCAATAGGAGCAGACAGTCAACTGGTCAGCCAGTCTCTATGATGTGCACTGACTACCATGGGGCAGATGCTCCAACCAGTAGATTAACTTGCTGCTGGGATCCAGCTGATCAGGATTGAGTGAGATGGGCCCGACACATCCTGGAACCCTCCCACGGTCCCTCCCTGCCTGGCCAACCTTCCACATTCCTCCCCAGCCTTAATCATGTACTGGTAGAGTCCCTCCACCTGGCCTGTGCCCTCTTGCAATCCGAGACTCCTTGGGGGATGTTGGGGAGCCCGTTTTGACCCAATCCTGCTCAATGCAGGAGCTGTCCCCTGATGGTCAGTGCACTCCCACGGGGGGAGTGCTGCTCAGCCAGAGCCGGGCTCATGGCTGGTGAGCCCCGTGGTGGTGGCGAGAGCCCCTTCCACCTTCATAGCAGTGCTAAGGATGTCTGACTGCCAGCTTATGACATCCCCTAAGGGCTACCAGACTGCAAGAAGGCACAGGTGGGGCTGAGGGACCCTCCAACAAGTGCACAAATTTCATTCGCTGGGCCTCTAGTCTGGCTATAAAATTCTAGGTTGGCATTTTTTCCTTTATCATTCTAAAAATGATATAATGTTGTTCTCTGACCTTTTCTATGCAAAGTCAGCAATACTTATTTTTATATGCAATGGTCTTTTCTGTAGTTTATTTTAAGACTGTGTCTTTATTAATTTTAAGAAAAAGGTTATGATGTGCCTTGAGTTTTTGGTTTTCTTTTGGGGTGGGGGATCTGTGGATTTACAATTGTTATTAAATTTGGAAAATGTTCCAGACATTGTATCTTTAAAAAGTATTTTCTATATCTCTCCTTTCTCAATTTGTTGGATTCTGATTAAATATATGTTATACTACTTGATTCTATCCAACAGTACACTGGAGTGCTTCATTTTTTTAACCCAAACCCACAGATAATTTTATTAATCTGACAGAAAGAGAAAAAGAGAGTAGCAGGGGATGGGGGGAAGAGCGAGGAAAGACAGATAAGAGAGAAACATCAACTGGTTGCCTCCCAGACCCATCCCTAGCAGGGATTGAACCTGAAACCTAGGTATGTGCCCTGACCAAGAATCAAACCCTTAACTTTTTGGTGTATGAGATGATGCTCCAATCAACTGAGCCACCTAGACAGGGCTAACTCTGTTCATTTTTTAAGCCACTTTTCTCTGTGCTTCAGTTTGAATTATTGTTATGTCCTTTCTAAGATCTTTCTTGTTAGTGGGTTGTAAACTTTTTTTCTCACAGAATTATGAAACTCAAACGGCATTTTTTTTTCAATAATTTTCTGTTTATATTTTCTTAATCTCTTAATACGCCTAATTTAAGAATAAACCAAATGCTTTAAAGGAGAAAGCATTATACATGTCTCTCTGAGATCATGGTCTCTTAAATTCTAGCTGCTTCTAAAACCACTGTATTTCAATTTTTTGTCTCTCTAACTCAGTGGGAATGCAGAAAGCTCTGCTGGTATCTTGGTCTCTTAGAGGTAGCCCTCAGCCTGGAGAACAGAACTCTTGACCTGTGCCGAATAATTGACATATTTCCATAATGAAAAAGAGGCTAGAAGAATCTCAGTTCACTTTTCTAGCATTCTCTTCTCTCCAGAAAAGTCCTGATGGTCTCAGCAGCTTACAGATGCTTTCAAACAGTGTGTGCATGCATGCATGTGAGTGTTTGTGTGTGTATGATTCTGTTTTCTATTTATTCAACCAGAGTGTTGGTCTAATGTGAGCTACTTCTGGATAATCAAAAGTGAAAAGATAGTTGTATAAAGTAATATAACAAACCATAGTGTACCAACTACCTGCCTTTCAATATTACCTTCTTTTTAATCCTTACCTGAGAATATGTTTATTGATTTTATTTTTAATTTTTTATTGAGGTATTATATGTGTACATATCATACCATGGTCCTCCCCACCCCACTCCCATACATGCCCTCACCCACCAGTGTTTTGCGTCCATTGGCTATGCTTATATGCATACATACAAGTCCTTCGGGTGATCTCTTATCTCCCCCACTTCTTCCTAACCTTCCCGCCATAATTTGACATTCTGTTTGATGCTTTACTGTCTCTGCATCTATCTTTTTGCTCATCAGTTTATAATGTTCTTTATTATCCACAAAAGAGTGATATCATGTGGTATTTTTCTTTCATTGACGGTCTTATTTCACTTAGCATAATGTTCTCCATTTCCATCCAGGTTGCTGCAAATGGCAAGAATTCCTTCTTTTTTTTGGCAGCATAGTATTCCATTGTGTAGATGTACCATAGTTTTCTGCTGATAGGTACCTAGGCTGTTTTCAAATATAAGCTATTGTAAATTGTGCTGCTATGAACATAGGGGTGCATATATCCTTTCTGATTAGTGTTTCTAGTTTCTTGGGATATATTCTTAGAAGTGGGATTACTGGGTCATATGGGAGTTCCATTTTCATTTTTTTGAGGAAACTCAATACTGTTCTCCACAGTGGTTGTACCAGTCTGTATTCCCACCAGCAGTGCACAAGGGTTGCTTTTTCTCTGCACCATCGCCAACACCTGACATTTTTGATTTGTTGATGATAGCCATTCTGGCCAGTGTGAGATGGTACTGCATTATCATTTTGATTTGCATCTCTCAGATAATTAGTGACTTTGAGCATGTTTTAATGTGTGTCTTGGCCTTCCTTCTGTCTTCTTTAGAAAAGATTCTATTTAGGGCCTTTGCCCATTTTTCAATTGGATCATTTATCTTCCTTTTATTCAGTTGTATAAGCTGTCTGTAGATGTTGGAGATTAAACCTTTATCAGTGATAACATTTGCAAATATGTTTTCCCATACAGTGGGCTTCCTTGTTTTTTTGTTGATGGTTTATTTTGCTGTGAAAAAGCTTTTTATTTTTATGTAGTCCCAATTGTTTATTTTCTCTTTAGCTTCCATTGCCCTAGGAGCAGTATCAGTGAAGAAGTTCTTTCGGCATGTTTGAGATTTTTCTGCTTGTGGACTCTTCTAGTATTTTTATGGTTTCCCATCTTATGTTTAAGTCCTGTATCCATTTTGAGTTTATTTTTGTGTATGGTATAGTTGGTGATCTACTTTCATTTTTTTTTTGCATATATCTGTCCAATTTTCCCAACACCATTTATTGAAGAGCATGTCTTGACTCCATTGTATGTTCATGCCTCCTTTGTCAAATATTAATTTAGCATAGTGGTTTGGGTCAATATCTGGATTCTCTATTCTATCCCATTGGTCTCTATGTCTGTTCTTGTGCCAGTACCATGCTGTTTTGAGAACAGTGGCTTTGTAATACAGCTTGAAATCTGGTATTGAGATATCCACCTGCTTTATTCTTCTTTCTCAGGATTGCTGTGGTTATTCGGGGTCTTTTTTCCCCCCCCAAAATGAATTTTTGGAGAGTTCTTTCTAGGTCTGTGAAATATGCCATTGGTATTTTAATGGGGAGTGCATTGAATCTATAAATTGCTTTGGGTAGTATGAACATTTTAATGATGTTGATTTTACCAATCCATGAAGATGGTATGTTCTTCGGTCTGTTTACATCTTCCTCTATCTGTTTTTTCAGTGTCGTGTAGTTTTCCAAGTATAGGTCTTTTACCTCCTTGGTTAAGTTTATTCCTAGGTATCTTAATTTTGGGGGGTGATGGTAAATGAGATTGCTTTTTTAATCTCTCTTTCTGTAAGTTCATTATTGGTATATAGAAATGCCATAGATTCCTTGGCATTAATTTTGTATCCTGCTACATTGCTGAATTCATTTATTAAGTCTGTTAGTTTTTTTATGGAGTCTTTCAGGTTTTTTATGTACATTATCATGTCATCTGCAAATAAGGACAGTTTTACTTCTTCTTTTCCAGTTTGGATGCCTTTTATTTATTCTTCTTGTCTAATTGCAATGGCTAGTACTTCCAGTACTATGGCAAACAGGAGTGGTGAGAGTGGGCACCCTGTCTTGTTCCTGTTCTTAGGGGAAATGGTTTTAGTTTTTGCCCATTGAGTATGATGTTTGCTGTGGGTTTATCATATATAGCTTTTATTATGTTGAGGTATGATCCTTCTATTCACATCTTGTTGAGAGTTTTTATCAAGAAAGGGTGTTAGGTTTTGTCAAATGCTTTTTCTGCATCAATTGATATGACTATATGGTTTTTATCTCTCAATTTGTTTATGTGATGTATTACATTTATTGATTTGCAAATACTGTACCATCCTTGCATTCCTGGGATAAATCTTACTTGGTCATGCTGTATGATCTTTCTGATGTACTGCTAGAGTTGATTTGCTAGAATTTTGTTGAGGATTTTGGCATCTATGTTCATAAGGGATATTGGCCTATTGTTCTCTTTCATTGTGTTGTCTTTATTCGGTTTTGTTATTAGAGTGATCTGGCTTCATTGAAGGAGCTTGGAAGTGTTCCTTCCTCTTGAATTTTTTGGAATAGTCTGAGGAGGATAGGTTATAGTTCTTCCTTGAATGTTTGGTAAAACTCTCCTGTGAAGCCATCTGGCCCCGGGCTTTTGTTTGCTGGTAGCTTTTTGATGACTGCTTCAATTTCTTCCATATTTATTGGCCTATTGAACTGTTTGAATTCTTCCTGATTGAGTTTTGAAAAGTTATATTATTCTAGGAATATGTTCATTTTCTCCAGGTTATCCAGTTTGTTGGAATAGTTTTTTGTAGTATTTTTTTTTAACAATCCTTTGTATTTTTGTGGGTTCTGTTGTTATTTCACCTCTTTCATTTCTGATTTTGCTTATTTGTGTACTCTCTCTTTGCTTCTTGGTGAGCCTGGCTAGATTGATGAATCTTGTTTATCTTTTCAAAGAACAAGCTCTTGGTTTTGTTGATCTTCTGTATTGTTTCTTTGGTCTCTATGTCGTTTATCTTCGCTCTAATTTTTATTATTTCCTTCCTTCTGTTTACACTGGGCTTTTCTTGTTGCTCTCTTTTTAACTCTTTGTAGAGTTAGGTAATTTATTACCATTATTTCTTGTTTGTTTTTGTTTTTGTTTTTTGGGTGTTTTTTTTTTTTTTGCTGTAGGCTTGTAGAACTATGAACTTCCCCCTCAAGACTGCTTTTGCTGTTTCCCATAGATTTTGGATTGTTGTGTTTTCATTGTCATTTGTTTCCATGATTTTTTTATTTCTTCCTTGATCTCTCTGGTAAGCCAGTCATTATTTAACAGCATGCTGTTTAGTCTCCATGTGTTTGATTTCTTCGGATTGTTTTTATTGTACTTGATTTCCAGTTTTATGCCACTGTGATCTAAGAAGATGCTTGATGGAATTTCTGTCTTCTTGAGTTTGAAGAAACTTTGTCTATACCCCAACATATGGTCTATCTTTGAAAATGACCCATGTGCACTTGAGAAGAATGTATATTCTGTGGCTTTGGGTGAAATGTTCTGAAGATGTCAATTAATTTCATCTGGTCTAGTGAGTCATTTAGGATTGATGTTTCTTTGCTGATTTTTTGTTTAGAGGACTTGTCCAATGGTGATAGTGGAGTATTAAAGTTTCCTAATATGATGGTATTGCTGTTAATCTCTCCCTTGATATCCTCCAGGAAATTTTTTTTATGTATTTGGGTTCTCCTGTAATTGGGTGCGTATATGTTTAACAGTCATTTCTTCATATATATATATATACATATATATATATACATATATATATATATATATGTATATATAATTGATTTTACAGAGAGAAAGTTAAAGGGATAGAAAGTTAGAAACATCGATGAGAGAAACATTGATCAGCTGCCTCCTGCATACTTCCTACGGGGCCATTGGAGGCTCAGGTAACCAGGGCTGACAGAGGCTTGCACTGCCTCCAGGCAGCAGCAGAGGTGTGATGGGGCTTCACCTTCCCCTGATCTCCGGGTCGCCTCCCACCCCTGAGGGCTTCTGGACTGTGAGAGGATGCAGGCCAGGCTGAGGGACCCCCCCTCCTGTGCATGAATTTTCATGCATCAGGGCACTAGTGTTAACTTAAACTCCTTTACAACAAACATCATAGTATCTCACTCACTTTCTGCATGCATTCACTTGTGTTTTCTGATCTCCAGTGCACTCCATAAGGCTTGCTGGGAGAGAAAGTCGAATTGAAGAGCCTTTTGCCACTGACATCGACCAGATAGTTGATGAAATTGTTTGTGTTCTGCTGCCAGTCCTCCAGGATAAGCCATTTGCATTTTTTGGCCACAGGTATTTAAAATCTGTTTTAAAAGCCATTTGCTCAATCCCGAATCCTTGGCAAATGTTGTTCTTTGTGTCTTGTGAGATGCATACCTTTTGTATTGGTTACACTGCTTCATTGCTGCTTAAAGGAGTGAGTGATTAAATATAGCTATAGCTGTTCTCAGACAAGAAAGTTAGACTGGAAGAAATTGTGCAATAGGAACCATAAAGATATAAATGCCAGATGAATTGTGAAAATCCTGGGCTCCTGGCATCTTCTCATTGGAAAATGAGAATGTTGAATAATTATGACGTCACAACTCTTACAATTGGCCATTCATATAGTAATTATATCTTTAGGCAAATAATAATAATAATAATAATAATAATAAATTAGGATTTGTAAAATCAAGATTATAGCAGTAACTTACATTGCACTTATTTTTAATTTTAACAATTATATAAATAGTATGTGCTAGATGTATAATTTTAAGATTATAACATGAAACCTGCAGTTTTGACTGCCTCTTAGTCGGTTTAACCTGTGAGACATTTTTATGGTTTTTGAATTAGTTTCCTTCTCTGTAAAGCTAGAAAAATAATAATTTCTTCTTATGAGGATTAAATGAATAATGATCATAAATTATTTGGTATGTGATAAGGACTCACTAAATTTTGGCTACCATGCTATATAATATTTATAGAGATGGTCAGGCAAAAAATAAAAAGTGTCATCCTAGAAAGTATTTTAAAATTTTGATGTGGTTCCATAATGTGTTATATGTACGGTCCTGCTTTGAATCTTTTCTGGACTTTCTTTCACTGACTATGGTTGTGAAGGTCACATTGTTTCATGACCTGTTTTATCATTTTATCAATCTCCCTTTGTGGACATAGTTATTTTTATCTTATGCTGTGAGCCAAAGAACATATATGCATGGTCCATGGACACAGACCAGTGTGTGGTGATGCGGAGGAAGGAGGGGAAGGGCGGGAGCTGGGAAGAGGTGGGTAAAGGCGGAGAAGGAGGACATCTATAATGGCATCAACAATAAATAAAAAAAATTTTAAATAAAAAGAAATGTCTCTAAAATTTTTTCAATGAACATTTTTGTAGAAAAATTTGCTTATATCTCATAAGTTTCTTAATATAAATGAAATGCCCATTGTTAGAGCTTCTAAGATACATTTCTAAATTACCTGCAATTTATGCTTCATGGGCAATGAACATGGGACTGAGTTTCCCTTTTCCTCCCCTAAGATATTTACCAAAGTAATCTCTGGCAGCATTGTTTACAAAACATATTTTCTTAATATGAAGAGTAGCTCACAAATGTTTTGGTCCCAACACTGTTTTAATACCTTTAAATAAACATTGAGCAGGAGAGACAAAATGGCGGAAGATTAGATGGACGGGTTCTGAGCCTTGTCCTGAAGCAGCAGAAGAGAGCAGCTGGGGGTCACGCTGGGAGTGTTTATTAGCAAGCTAAGAAACAGGCGAACTCCAGGAGAAAGTGGGGTCTGCTGATCAGGGTGCCCCTGACAGAGAAGCACCCACGGCGGAGCTGGGTGCCCTCGCGGAGCTATCTATGGGCTTGGACGGGGAAATCTTGCCATCTTTAAAGGAAGAGTGGATCTTGTCAGAGGCCTGAATACCCACAGCTGCAGTGACTGCAGAGCAACTGTGAGTCCCAGAATGCTGATCCCACGCGGTGCAAAAACTTAGACTCAAAGGAGCGCTTCACCGCACAAGGAAAAGGTCGGATTTCAAGAGATAGGGTGAGTGCCCACGGCGGAAGACAGAAGCCTCGCGTGCCTGGTGGACTGGGGCCATATTTACAAGGAGAAGCCCCTGGCTGTTGGGCTGATGTCACCTATGAATGTGGTCGGGGCTCCTAAAGAGCAACACGTTTTGATCTGACTCGGAGGCATATCTGGAGAATTACAGGGGAGTGCAGTCAGCTTAGACTTGCCCCTGCCCCCCCTCCATAGATCAGTGTCACAGAGAGAGAGAGAAAAATCTAGAGTGGCTTTAGAGCCCTGGAAGTCAACCCAGAAACACTGTCACCCAGAGGCTAAATCACAAACTGACCCTAGTATAATAAAAAATCAAAGCAAGACCTGCTTAAAAATCAGGACCAGATTACAACACTGAGGAGCAGTGAAACGCAGGGAACTGCAATACTGTCTGGACTGGGAAACAGATGTGCCAAACAGAATGATAGAGAAAGTGAATGACCTTCACTACTACAAATTTTATTTAATTTTTAATTTTTAATTTTTTAATTTTTGTTTTTTATTTTCATTATTTGCAACATTTACTCAAGAAACTATTTTTTCTTTTTCCTCACTTGATTTTACCTTTTTAATTAATACATTTTTATTTGTAATCAGCACTATTACTACTATTTTACCTTTTTTATCTTATTTACTTTTATTTTTATTATTTTTTATGTGTCATATTATATGCTCTTTATTTTACTTCGGGATTAGTGTTCTACAGTCTATTTTTACCTTTCCTTCACCAACGCTTTATTCTATCTCAACCCTACCTTTATGCCATCATTCTCTTTCTAACCTTTCCTTCTGTGGTGTCCTGTTTTCCTATCCTGCTCTAGATTTTCCTTATTCTTTCTGTTTATCACCTCCTAAAATTTCACCTTACTTGTGTATATCTAATTTCCAACCCCCTGCTCCAAGCCCCTACACACACCCCTTTCCGCTGTCCAAAAAATAAATAAATAAATAAATAAATAAATGCCTTTTTTTCTATTCCCTTGAAGTTGTATGTTGAATGTTAACTATATTGAAGTTTTATGCTTTTTTTGTGAGATTGTTTTGCTTATTCTTTTTGTTTGACTGTATGCTTTTGTTAGCTGTGTTTTAGTTAGTTATTATTTCTGCTTTCCCTTTCCTCACTTGATATTAGTTGGTGTTGTAAACTATATTAATCTAAAGATACGTGTTGCTGCCATTTGCTGTGATAAAGGGTTGTTCTATTGGAGTTTCCTTCCCATATATAGAGTTAGTTCCTCATTTCTCTCTTAGTATTGTTCTAGTTTCTCTTTTCTTTTTTTTCTCTCCTTTTCTCAATTTTATTTTGCCACTCCTTTTCTATTTTTTCTTTTCTTTTTTTCTCTTCTATCTCTCCTACCCCCTAATGTGCCTTTCTCTAATGGTCACCTTTATTGGAGGTTATTAATATCGCAAACACATTTCTGTTCAGTGCCTTGTGTGTTGTACCTGGTTGTGCCGTATTTTGTGCCTTTAAATCAACGCAGGAAAGAGAATTACATAACCAGACATCCTGAAAAGAGAGATCATGGGGAGACAAAGAAACAGCCCACATATGAAACAAAAGCAGGCATTGCCAGAAAAGGAAGTAAATGAGTTAGAGGCAAGCAATCTACTGGAGCAAGAATTCAGAGTAATGATCATAAGATGGCTAAAAAGAATGGAAGACAAATTTGACAATATGAGTAAGAACGAAAAGGAAATTAAGAAGAACCAAGAAGAAATGAAAAATTACATCGCTACTGTAAAGAACTCAATAGAAAGCATCAAGAGTACACTAGAAGAAGTAGAAGACCACATCAGTGAGCTAGAAGACAAGATGAAAAAAAATAAAAATAACCCAATTAGTGCAGCTTCTGGAAAAAAAAAAAATTAAAAAGCAGGAGGGGAGTCTAAGGGAACTTTGGGACAATACAATACAAAAAAATATTAGAATAATAGGGGTTCCAGAAGGAAAGGAAACTGAGGAAGGCATAGAAAAGATATTTGAAGAAATAATGACAGAAAACTTTCCTGAGATAGAGAAGAAAAAACCCACACAAATACAAGAAGCTCACAGAGTCCCAAGCAAAATGAATCCCAAAAGACCAACGCCAAGGCACATTATAATTAAATTGGCAAACACCAACGACAAAGTAAGAATCTTAAAAGCAGCCAGAGAGAGACAGAAAGTTACATATAAAAGAACCCCCATCAGACTAGCAACTGATTTCTCCACAGAAACTCATCAGGCCAGAAGGGAATGGGATGAAATATACAAAGTCATGCAAGGGAAGGGTCTGAATCCAAGAATACTGTACCCAGCAAGGCTATCAATCAAAATTGAAGGTGAAATCAGGAGCTTCACAGACAAAAGAAAACTAAAGGAATTTATCACCATCAAACCAGCAATGTAAGAAATGCTAACGGGTCTACTGTAAAAATAAAGAAATAGGAAGCGAAGAAGGAACACAGGGGTATAGAATAAAAATGGCATCAAATAAGTACCTATCAATAATAACTTTAAATGTAAATGGATTAAATGCTCCAATCAAAGACATAGGGTAACGGATTGGATAAGAAAATAAGACCCATATATCTGCTGTCTACAAGAAACTCATTTCAGAAAAAAAGATGCACACAGAATGAGGGTGAAGGGATGGAAAAAGGTTTTCCAGGCGAATGGAAATGAAAAAAAAAGCTGGGGTAAAAAAACATTGAGGACCTCAGAGAGCTTTTGCTTATGTGTGATATTATGTCAATATTTACTATATTAGAAATTAATACTAAGAAATTTAAATATACATATGTTAAAATAATATTAATAAACCCATTGCATGTAGTCATAAGTATAGTTTTAAGTAAAAGACTGTATTACTTCTCAAAATTAGTGTGAGGCAAGGCATTGTTTTACACTTCTGCAAATCTGTTTTTTGTCTGGCTGAATAGAAGGCAGCTGGATTCTCATTTCTGCTTCTTCATTCAAACTGTTGCAATATCCCAAGTCACATAGCCTCAGGGAAACTCAGCTATGCACTCAGGAGAGACAGAGTAGGAATATGATATTTTGGCATTGTCATGAAAATAGCTTTCACCTTATAGATCATATGAAAAGGTCTCAGGAATTCCCAGGGGATCCCAGCCCTTACTTTGAGAACTGCTGATACATACTATCAAAGGCTTAGTAATAGAGAGCTGACGGGACAAAAGGAAACTGAAATAAATTTCAAGGCATTGTGGAAGTAAGTACTAAATTTTAGCCTGAACTATCTAGGATGTCTTAAAAACACTTTTGATGCTGATATAACTTGTTGAAAGTATACCCTCCATAAACGCTTTTATTATTTAAATAACTCATACTTTTCTTTGCATATGTCATGGTCATTGCTGTTTTATGATCCTGTCTTTATATACTTTCAGTGGATTACCATGACTTTGTTGAACAGTTATCATGTTTTTCTTTCCCAAATTTAGTATGGGGGCCAACATTGCTTTTATGACTGCAGTACACCTAAAAGAAAAACATAAGCTACAACCGATGCATTTATTTGTGTCAAGTGCAATTCCTCATGTAAGTAATTTCATTTTCCTTAGGGTAGTGGTGATAGGAGGGAAATGAGTGGGAAATCACGACGCTATTTCCCCATTCTGGTCCAGCATGGGGATGATGTTGAGACCCTACTGGCTCATGAAAACACCCTCAGATTTCTTCCAATATCTTTTCCCCTTTTCTCTGAAACACACTTTAACCATTTTCTGGTCAGTCCCTGGCAAATCCAAGTCATTATTTTTATTTATATATATATAAGTAATGTTTATTTATTTTATTTATTTTTTTAAATTTAACTTTGTATGTATTTTTAAAATATATTTTATTGATTTTTTTACAGAGAGGAGGAGAGAGGGATAGAGATCTAGAAACGTCGATGAGAGAGAAACATCGACCAGCTGCCTCTTGTACACCCCCTACCGGGGATGTGCCCGCAACCAATGTACATGTCCTTGACCGGAATCAAACCTGGGACCTTTCAGTCCGCAGACCGATGCTCTACCACTGAGCCAAACCGGTTTCGGCCCAAGTCATTATTGACCCAAAGTGCTTGTTCTTTCATTCTGGGTCAGGTGGGAACTTCCAGCTAAGTAACTGGATCAGAGCCAGGAAAGAATACTTGAAATCGCCAAAGGGGAAAGGGACCTCAGCATTTCGTACCCCTCTGGCTCTTCAAATCAGTGCTGCTCACACTCCTGCCTGGCTCTTGCTTCCCCTTTGGAAGGAAGGCCCACGCAGCAGCATTATGACACTGAGTCCTAGTGGAGGGGAACTTTCTTCTCCCTGCTTTTTTTTAATAAAAGAGGTCTGGCCTTGGCCAGTTTTGCTCAGTGGATAGAGCATTGGCCTGTGGACTGAAGGGTCCGGGGTTCAATTCCCAGTCAAGGCACAAGCCCTGGTTGCGGTCTCAATCCCCAATAGGGGGCGTGCAGGAGGCAGCCAATAAGTGATTCTCTCTCATCATTGATGTTTCTATATCTCTCCCTCTTCCTTTTTCTCTGAAATCAGTAATATATATATATATATATATATATATATATATATATATATATATATAATTAAAAGAGATCTGCCCCAAAACCTGTAGATAAAAAAGTCTACTTCTGACCCTGACTTGATGGCCTTTCCCTGGAGAGGGAGCTTTCAGTTTATGAACGAGTGTGTTTATGAAATATTAGACTTACGCTGTTCATGTTTCAAGTCAAAGGCCAGGTATCACTTTCCTGAAGGTGAAGAATTGACAGACGAGCACATCCACTCTTTCATTTTGAACTTGGGAGTCACCCCCACAGATCCCAATAATGAGAAGAAAATTTCTCAGGAATATTTGCCCAGACTGGTGGCAGATGTACGCATTCTTCACAAGTTCATGTAAGTAACTGAGACAGGTGCTTTTTAAAAAATAAATAATTATCTGTAGAAAAATACGGGTTGGCAGTTCTCTGAGACTGCTTATTCAGGAAGATAACATTCTAAGAGTTTGATTTTATTTCCTTTGGAGCCACTGTGATATTTTTACTGGCTTAGAATGGAATGTGGACACAGAAATGATATAAATGAAAGATAGAGTATATCTTTGCTTTAAGTATGTGTGTATTTGTGTGTGGCTCAACACACGTTTTATCACATAACACATATTTGAACAAACTAACACAAGGCGCCCTTGTCTTCTCCAAGGGCCAGAAGCAGAGCCCTACTTCCTGAGTTGTGTGAAGGTGAACCTGAGAGGAAGTAGTGGTTGGCTTTTTGTGAATTCTGTTCCAGAACTCGTTTAACCCCATGGCATCTTACTATCGCCTTGGGATGTATGTATTGAGGCTGGATCTTCTGCAGGCCTGGAGATCTAACATTCTGTAAAGCCTCCCCACTCATCTAAACCTGCCCCTGGCTCTAACTTCCCCATCGCAGTGAGCAGGGGCCAGCCTTCGGCCCTTAGTCGCCATTAGATTCTGTCACGCATTCCTCCAATTTTGCCCGGGCTTTGTCTCCTTCACGTAGGTCCCTAGAAGGCAGATGCTTGGGCCTATGTTACTTTTATTTCCTCCACAAAGGCTAGAACTAAGCATAGGGCCACCACAGCAATGTTTGTGATGAGAAGTTTATACAAATATCTACAAAAAGTGGAACGTAGTACTTGAAGCACCCTGAGAACAGACAATCCCACTCACCTATGACACATCCCTCTGGGCACTGCAGTCTATTGGGAGGATCTAGTACTAAGTCCCCTGGTGACTGAAGTCTATTCCTCTTGCCATTTCTGTCTCAACCACCTTTGCCCAAGTGTGAGTCTCACAGGGATAAGCTGTCTGTGCCACTGGCTGAGCACAGAGTCAGAATCAAAGAAACCAGTCTGACATCACGTCCTTCCCTGCCCCCAAATAGAAAAGCAATCTAAGTCACTGTGGACATTCCGTGAAATACTGCAGGCAAAAGCTGGTTTAATCATTAAGCCTCGCACAGTGGTTAAACATGCTGTCTGTGCAGTCTGCCTCCCAAGATCAAAACCCTTTGCCCATGGCTTACCACCTGTGAGATTCTGAGCAAGTTCCTTTAACAGTTTGAGTCCCACCTGTCAGAGGAAGGAGTAAAAACTCTCTCCAGGTGTTGCGGTGAGGACTAAATGAGGTCAGATTGCCAGCATAACTAACTACTACAGTTAAAAAAACACACACAGAAAACACACACACACACACACACACACACACACACACACACACAGAAATTCACTACCAAAGGCTGTTGTGGCTTTAACATCTTAGCAGAGCCTCAGGGTGTCGGTGGTGGGCTATGGTCAACCAGACCCTACCAGAAGAAGTGAAATGGGGTTATTGCCACGAGCCCCGGAGGAGGCCCATGGCACGCCTGGAGGGCCCAGGGTGGGCAGGGCAGGTGTGGGCAGACAGTGTGGCCGGACGGGGACACACACCTTTATTATAGTGTCGGTGAAGTGCTTTGGGGTTCCTGGGCCAAGGCCAGATTGGTCAATTCAAACGAAAAGAAAAGTGGGGTTTGGTAAGCTTCCTAGGGGGTGTAGTCTGAGGGATGCCTGAGGGGAAGGCTCGGGGAGGCAGGAGAGACTGTTTATCACAAAGGCTGTTGGGGGATTTACCCGTACTTGTGACTCAGCAGCTGTCCTCTAGGCTAGTGTCACTCAGGACTGCTGCAGGCTGCTTAGCCAAGGCAGCAACATTAGCCACACTCTCAACAGCCCTCAGGAGAAACCTCCCAACGCCAAAGTGAAAGCAAAATCACTCACAGGGATATTGCACTCATATAATAGAGAAAACCTTCTCAGCACTCTTCTCACATCCCTCCTCCCCCCCGTAAATCCGAGTGTAATAGCTACTCACAACATATGCCCCCTCTCTCCAAACTCCAACAATTCTCTCCGAACCCTGCTTTCTGGGTTCTCCTCCCTTCTTCACTCCCACTCCTTCAGTCTCTCCTTCTACCTTCTCAGTCTATTCTCTCTTCTGGTCTCTGCAGCTCTCAGCTGTATCAAATAAATAAATAAATAAATAAATAAATAAATAAATAAATAAATAAATAAATAAATAAAATCAGGCCTATAGCGCCCCTCTCTGTCTTCTCTGTTTCCATGACCACAGGGTTCCGAGCCTGGTGGCCAGAATGGAAATCTGTGGCAGTGAGAGCTGTGACAGCTCCCCACTCACTCAAGCTCATCTCCTGCCTGAGCATTCATGCTGTTCTCCTGTCTCCTCCTAGAACCTGATTGTGTACTGGTACACGCGAGGCTGTTGGGTTTTGTCCCTTGGTTCTGGAATAGTCTGCCTTTTAAAACTGTCTTTCTTTGCTTTTCAGTTTGGATAATTCCTGTTGACCATCTTCAGGTTCAGTGATTCTTTCCTCAGCTGTATCCAGTCCACTGATAAGGAATTTATTTGGGTTACAGTTTTTCCTACAATTTCCACTTGACTTTCTTGTAGTTCTCACCTCTCTAACAAATTTCCCATTTACCTACAAATGTATTCCACCTTTTTCACAAAACCCTTTGACATCTCACACACAGCTATTTTAAGTCCCTGTCAGATAGTTCCAACATCTGGGTCTTATTGAATCTGATTCTTTTCATTGCTTTGCCTCTTGCCGATGGAGTTATTTCTTGCTTTCTTATGTCTGATAATTTTTGTTTATTGAGAGCCAGTCATCATGCATAAACAGAGACTGCAGGACATATTTTTACACCTGGCTATAAGTACAGAGAGTTGAGTCCATCTAGACTGGAGATGACTTGCTTGGCCTTTGTTGTTACTGTTGTTCCTCAGGCAATGCCAGTTTTCAAATCCCCTAGTGTTACTGTGTGCTCAGCATGGCGACTGGGCTGCTGGAGAGTGTTCCTCAATGCACTGGTCTTTCCTGTGCCTCACAGGACAGTCGGTCCCCGCTGACAGACAGTTGTTACCTGACGTGTGGTGTCAGCCTCTGGGGTAAGATGGGGAGCTGTTGGACGTCCTAGAGTCGAGTTTCCACCTTAGGCAGGTCCTTGTGCTTGGGCCTTGTGATGGGACTTGCAGCATGCCTGCCCCTTCTCCCTGTGTCTGTGGTAGGTATAGACGTGGGCCCTCACCTGCAGGGGAGTGAGAGTGTCTGATGCCCTGCTTCAGCAGCTTGAGGCTTTTTCTTAGTAAGAAAGAAGGGCCTGGGAAAGGGCTGGGATAGTGCCCATTTTATGGCTTATCTGCCCACCTGCCCCACCCCAGGGGGCTCTTTCTGGCCTCCTGCCTTGTTCCCAGTATTTCTTTTCTTTTTCTTTTAAAATATATTTTTATTGATTTCAGAGAGGAAGGGAGAGGAAGAGAGAGAAACATCAATGATGCGAATCATTGACTGGCCGCCTCCTGCACGCCCCCTACTGGGGATCGAGCCCCTAATCTTGGCAGGTGCCCTGACCTATGAACCTCACCCTGAGCCACACGGGCCTGGAGAGCGTCTGTTTTAAGCCCCGTGGTTGGCGGTCACTGTTACAGAAGCCCCAGCAACAGACAAGAGAAGGTCAGCGGGAAGCCTAGTCAGGAGGGCCCTGTGTCCCACCGCCAAGGGCCCTTGCAGGCTTTTGAGGTGGGATACTTGTAGGCCCCTAGTGGACCACAGACACTACACGCTGCGTGGGCGGCGACAGCAAAGGAGAGGCCACTGCCTCGTGGAGGCATCAGTCTGCTGGTGCCCGTGCTCCCCTCCTCCCCACGCGCATCTCACCAGACAACCAGCAGGAACTCCAGGCAGCACTGGGCCGTGGCCGGAGCCTAGGCCGAGCAAAGGGAGGTTTGCTAAGAAAAGACCAGGCCACGGGTGACCTGTGGGTTTCCATCGGCCAGGAGAGCAGGTTGCTCAGCTACCGTCAATGATAGAGACGGCAGGTTGCTCAGCTACCGTGAATGATAGAGACAGGGTGTCCATTCCCAGGTACCTGACACTCCTCCCCTCGGTCCCCCGCCAAGCGCGCCCCCCGCCAAGCGCGCGCGCCTCTCCGGGAGGCGGTGGCCCTGGGCCTGCCCGGCCGGGCCGCGCCCGCAGAGAAAGCCCCGGGTGGCGCTCCCGCCGAGGGCAGCGCTCAGCACCGCTCAGCACCGTCTGGGGTGCGGGGCCCGGGTGTCCATGGCACTAAGAGCCCGTGTGGGGCAGTGCCAGCCCCTCGCTCACCCGCTCCTGAGGGGGGGGGGGGGGAGGTGCCGAGGCCCCGCACGCCGCCTGCCAGCCCGGAGCCCGGGCCGCGCCGGCCGCACTCCCGGCGGCAGCGCTCCCGCCCCCCGCCCTGCCGCCCAGCGCCCGCCGGGACTGACCAGACCCAGTTCTCTTAGCGGGTCCCGCCCTCAGAGCTGGGACCCCGGTGTCTTCTCGCCGGTGCGCCTGGGGGAGGAGCCCCGCCCCGCGGGGCCGCCCGCCCGGTGCTGCCCGCGCGCCCGCGGCGCCGGGAGTCGCGAAGCCGCTCGTGGAGCGGCCGCTCCCCACGGGCGGGCGGGAGGCTTCCCCCGCGGGCCCCCGCCGCCTCCGGCTCCTCCTGCGGCTCCGGATCGGGCTCCGGTCCGGGCTCTTCCCGCCGTCGGTCCGCGCGGGCTGGGTGCGCCCCCTGTGCGGCCGCGGAAGCCCCGCTCGGTCCGGATTTACAGAAATTCAGTCCGCCGCGGGCGGCGGGAACAGCCTTCCCGGTCATTCTTGAGGCCGTGGGGAAAGGCCGGCGAGCAGGCTGGATGCTATCTGACAGCACCCCTCACCCCGCAACCCCCTGCCCTTCCTGCCTGAGCTCCAGCACTCTGTGACATTTGAGCGGATTCCATCTCCCTGGAATGGCCGGCAGACACCCCTTCCTCCAGTGCTTTGCGCGCGTGAGCCGGTCTGCTCGCCTCACCTCTCTTTAAAGGTACCTGGCCCTCCTTTCTAGTTTGCCTTGCAGACCCAGCTCCCTGATGAGTTCAAGGAGTTATCATCTTGTAGTTTGTTGGGCTTTTTCTCATCATCAGGTTCAGAGAGGCACTTCGAGTTTTCTACTTTCTGGGCAAGAGTGCGGATATTTATTTATTTATTTATTTATTTATTTATTTATTTAGAGCTGATCCTAGACCCCGTGTCCCACATTATACCCAGACGTGTGAAATCAATTTTTTTCACATCGCACTTGCTTTAAATCCTTTGGGTGGCTTCCTGTCTTTCTAAGGGTGACCAAAATCCTTTATAAAGCCTAGACTACCCAGTTCTTTTACCTTATTTTGTCCCAATCCCCCCTTTACTCTCTATAAGTCATGGTGTTCATACTCTTCCCTCTTCCCCTGCTGCCTCTCTTGCCTTTGCCGAGTTTTGTCATATTAATTCAGATCTCAGATTCAACTCTTTTTCCTTGAGGCCTTGCTTAATGCCACCCGCAACTGTCAAGTGTTCGCAGGCCCTCCTTGGCAGCACTTACACACTGCAGGAGCAAAGAGACCCTGTGTATCCACAGGTTCTTAGTGGCCAACACACAGCAGACAGCACCACCCTCGATAAGCTGTTGTGATTAAACTAAGAATGGGTGGAACCAATGCAGGGAAGCTGTTTGTGTCCTGCTGGTTGCAACTCTCTCTGGACCATGGAGAGCTGGTTGTCTCTGGGGAACGGCAGCAAAAGGGCCTGGGTGTAATCAGCCTCACCTGAGTTGGACTGGGGGCCCAGGTGCCAGCCAGCTGCCATCTGCACTGTTCTAGAAGTTAGATGATCTTAGAAAATGGCTGGGACCACAGTCTGACATGTGGAAATATGGCTGATAAAATTTTGTTTTTGAATTGCTAGAAACAGAAAAAGAGAAAGAAATGAGGACACACCCTGTTACCTTCAAGAGACACTGGTAATACTTCAGAAAAGATCCTGAGAAAAGTTACTAACTTTTTTTTTCTGTTTACAGCTTTAATGCACCATCTGAGGCCATTCTATCTTGTGACTTGACATGCTTTGTTGGATCTGAAGATATAGTAAAGGATATAGAAGGTGAAATAATTTTGAGTATTTTATTGACATATAGTTCAAACAGCAGTTACTGCAATGAGTAGAAAACGGGACCAAGTTTTATTTAATATAAATGGAGAGATGCCAGTCATGTGTAAAATGAGAGACTGCAGGTACTACTACTGTATACTGATAGGTCTTAGAGAAATTAAAAATTCAGGACTTACAGAACATGAGACATTGAAACCAACTTGCCACTGGGGTCAGATCTTTGAAAGGTAATATCTGAAAGTATGTGTTTTGTTGTTTTTGGTGTCATTTGTTACTAAATTTATAATTTTGTTTACTTCTAGCCTGGAAAGATATCAGCAGTGGGAGTTTTCATATTCATGTGTGTCCAGGAAATCATTTTTATCTCATGGAAACTGCCAATGAGACCTTCATCATGAACTACATAACCAAGTGTCTAGAAATATCAATGCTTGCCTAATTAGACATTTTTCTGGTCTTAAAAAGTCAAAGTGATTATATGATACTTAATTTTTTTTCAGAAGTAGTTGATTGTTTTAATTCAGAAATCAGAAAGTTATAGATTTATTACTGTCAGGGGATTTGCTATATATACACACCTGCATCTAGGGACAAAAGACAGATGGTCAAGCATACTTCTGATTCTTTGTATTAGAATCTCATTTGAGTCTCATCTGTGGGAAGTTTGTCAACAAAATTCCTGCTTAGTAAATGATCCATTTTTACATTCAACTATTTTAACAGTGAAAATGTCAGATAGGGCACTTGCTTGAAATTAAATTACTGTTTCATCTGCACACGGGCTCAAAGCTTGATCTAATCTTTTGAATTATAGGCTCATTCCATTTAATAAGAAAATGTATGGTTCAAACCTACTGCATGGTTCAAACCAGACGGTCCTGAGCAATCATTGCCGGCTGCTCTGTTGGTGCTCAGACTGCCTCTGCTGGTGGGTTCCTCCTACAGCGATTGTCCCACCCTTTGGCTCTGGGTGGCCTGCTGCTGCCCTGACAGTGACTGACTGAGCCAGGGGGAGTATGGAATGGCCAACTACAAATGCCACGACCCATAGGCACCTCAGCCTCACTCTGTGACTATTTGATGTTGATGTGAGGAGAAAGCAGAACAGCTGGAAGCAAACAGGAGCTAGAGGGGGAAAAGCAGGGATGGGAAAATGAGCTGGGTCAAAACAGTGAAGGCTACAGATGGGATCTGCAGATGCTCCGATGAGAATGAAGAGGCCCCGTGTCTCTGAGCCGTGTGGATCCTGCAGGCTCCGGCAATTCCCAAACTGTTTGTCCTTGGAATCCTGGCTATTCTCTCAGACATCCTTATTTCCTGTGGATCTTCACTACAAACTCTTGTACTTGATTGATGTAACCGATGTCTCTCGCTTATGGCTAAAACTGCTTAGACCAGCATCATCATACATGAAAATGTTAACTTTTAAAGCATTGGTATGTTTATGATCACATAATATGGGTTCATGTTTTTTAGCAATTTTAAAATCATATATACAATCTTAATAAAGAAATAAGATCAAAGGAAATTCACACGGGATATTTTTCAGAATTTACCAGTACTTTTTAAGAAAGTACAAATAATATAAAATGCGTTATGGAGAAAGAGCTGTGAGGTGGAATTCACATAATAAATTTGGGCTAAAAATGGCCTCAAGCAAATGATGTTAAATGTTTAGTACAGGCTGTGCTGTGCTTTACTCTCTGGTATATGACTTCCAGGGTTCCCTTACAGATGAACAGGCACTAAAGTAATTTAGATTTTTGATTATTAGTTTAAATAATTTTTAGTTATTATAGTCCACAAATGGAAATCCCATAAGGGAGCCAATGCCAGGCTTTTGGGGTAAGCTTTCTCACCTGCCTCTCCTCCTGGGGAGGTGAGGTCCACATAGGAATAGCTCTGAGAGTTTTCAAGGCCTCCATTGGAAGGACCAGACCTTCACTGCTGATGTATTCTCACTGTTGGGTTGAACGTTGACTCATGGTGTAAGACTTCTATCTTTAGGCAAAACTTACTAGAAATGAGAATCATTGTTAAACCCACAAATTTTTCAAATTAGAAATCAAGCTAGATTTATTGTTAATTAAACTTTTTATTTTAAGACAATTGTAGATTCACATGTGGTTGAAATAATATAGAAACAGTTTCTCCTCATACTAACATCCCACAAACATCTAGTGCAACATCACAACCAGGAAATGGTCATTTACATCATCAAGATACAGAGCATCCCTAGACCACAGGATTCCTCTCACTGCCCTTTTAACAACACCTGTGCCCTCCTCCCTGGCAATCCCTGTTTGGCCTTTCAGGTCTGTATCAAGAATATTACAGAAATGGGGCAGTATGTAACCTTTAGGGATTGGCTGGATTCCCCCCCCCCCCCATTCCACATAATCCCCTAAAAATTCATCTATTGTATCTAGATTTTTTTTTTTTAAGTCATATGAAATCAATCTATTCCTCTGGTCATACCATACCAAACCTGAACTCTCTTGCAGGCAATAAAGGTACACTGTTTCGGGTAGATTTGTAGCCTATGAAATCTCAAACATATTTTAGAACTATTAAAATGAGACTATCTTCATCCTAGCTGGGTGGCTACAGTTGGTTGGAGTCATGTCCTGTAGACCAAAAAGTTGTGGGTTCCATTCCGGGTCAGCACACATACCTACATTGTGGGTTTGATTCCTGATCAGAGTGTGTACGGGAGGCAACAAATCTATATTTCTCTCACATTGATATTTCTCTTTCTCTCTAAAAGTCAATAAACACATATCCTTAAATAAGCATAAAAAGAAGAAACTATCTTTTTTTCAGAGAATCTGTGTACCAGCAAGAAAAACTGAGTATTGGGCCAATATATTCATTCAGACTCTGATAAAACTCAACATAAGAGGTATATTACCACTAGATAGTATATTTCAGGACTAGAATCAGGCCCGTGCCAGTGTCCATCCCAAAGCTGCATGGTGCAACAAAGGAATAGCTTTGTTATTGGTTCTTTCAAAGCTATTGATTATACCACTGTAGAAAAACAGACAAGCCAAAAACACAAACAATTGTTCTCAGCCAGCATGGCTCAGTGGTTGAGTGTCAACCAGTGAACTAGAAGGTCATGGTTGGATTCCCAGTCAGAGCACATGCCCAGGTTGTGGGCTCGATCCCCGGTGTGGGGAGTATAGGAGGCAGCCAATCAGTGATTCTCATCAATATTTCTGTCTCTCTCTCCCATTCCCTTCCTCTCAAAAATCAATAAAAATATGTTTATTTTTTTAAAAGAACAAACAATTGTTAATGTTTTTGTGCACATACTACCAGAGCAATAATTTTAAAAACAATGTTTAGAATCATCTCTTTATATTGATTAGTTTTTGACAGGCGATGACTCAGAAACCTAAATAAATTATTTTTAAATGTAAAAAAAAAAAAAAAAAAACCCACCTGGTTTTTAGCAAGTAAAATTTCCTTAAATATATAGTTTAATCATACCTCTAATTAAAGATTATAATTCATGTTACTAGCAAAAATTTTCAACAGATGTAATGAGTTAACAGTGCATTTCTCCCCTAAATGTTAGGTCACGATACCATTACGAAGGCTTCAAAAGAAAAGTTTTCTCATACGCTGAATTCTAAATTCCATATTTTTCTATCAGCTCTTTTGCTTTAGAAATATAGGCATTCATGGCATCTTCCTTCGATAATCCTAGAAAGATACAAACAGATCATCTCACTAACAGATGCATTGGGAAGTTAAGAAAGTTCACTGAATTTAAGAATTAACAACCTTTTTGGAGGTTCCATGCTTCCCACTTAGCCTTGCCCTTTAAATCTAGCATTCCTGGACACTCTGCCAAAAGAAGAATAGACATATTTTCAGGTTTACTTTTTACTCTTAGCTTCTATAAACATTGATGGAAGTATATCACTATTTTAAAGATGACAATAAATACCAATATTGATGTCTCCAATTACAGATTGTTTGTAGAGCCCATAAAGTTCTTTCAGTTCTTCATCTTCTGGCCTTGCTTTCAGCTTCTTCACGTCTTCTGCTGCCCTATCAAAATCAGCCTAAAGCGAAGGAGAAAAGGCACACAGTGCATTACCAAAGTGTATGTGGGCCCGTCTGTTTGGGGGCTTTCACCGCCAAGCAGTGGGAACTCAGAGGAGCAGGAAAAGGAAGATGCAAATAGAAATACTAATATTGCTCTGGCTCGACCAGAATTACCATAACTAATTCATGGACCCACTCCAGGTACTTATGTGCTACATAGACAAGACACGGTGAAAAAAATATACTTCTGAACACTGAAAATGTTCAACTTATCAATGTATAAGAATTGAAGATGACATAAGTAAATGGAAAAAAAATATCCTGTGTTTTTGGATTGGAAGAATTAATATTGTTAAAATGTTCATACTACCCCAAGCAACCACGCAACCTACAGATTCAATGCAATCCCTATCAAAAGTCCAGTATCATTTTTCACAGAAATAAAAACAACAATCTTAAAATTTGTATGGAACCATAAAAACTCCAAATACCCAAAGCAATCTTGAGAAAGAAAATATCTAGAGGCATCATGCTTTCTGATTTTAAACTATAATACAAAACTGTATTAGAGCAGTAGGATACTGGCATAAAAACAGGTACCTAGGTCAATAGAATGGAGAGCCCAGAAAGAAACTCATGCATATATGGGCAATTTGATTTACAACAAATAAGCCAGTCTCTTCAACAAATGGTATTGGGAAAACCACATGCAAATGAATGAAACTGGACCACTATCTAACACTGTACACAGAAATCAACTCAAAATGGATCAAAGACTTGAATGTAAAACTTGAAAATATATTTTATTGATTTTTTACAGAGAGGAAAGGAGAGGGATAGAGAACTAGAAACATTGATGAGAGAGAAACATCGATCAGCTGCCTCCTGCACACCCTCTACTGGGGATGTGCCTGCAACCAAGGTACATGCCCTTGACCAGAATCAAACCTGGGACCCCTCAGTTCACTGACCGATGCTCTATCCATTGAGCCAAACCAGTTTTGGCAAAATATTTATTTTTTTAAAAAGGAGTGTTAACATCTACTAGTATTCCACGGAATTCAATGCAGAAGTAAAAAAGAAGGCCTTCTTACCCTTTGAGACAGCCTGGAGGGGGCTGGAGAGTATTATGCTAAATGAAATAAGCCAGAGAAAGATAAGTATCATATGATCCCAATCATATGTGGAATCTAAAGAACAAAGTAAACTGATGAACAAAATAGATCCAAAGACACAGAAGCATGGAATAGACTGTGGAATCTCAGAGGAAAGGCAGGGGTAGTGAGCGGGTGGGAAGAGATTAAGCAAAGAATTTATATGCATATATACATAATGCATGGACACAGACAATAGTGTGGTGAAGGCCTGGGGTGAGGAGCA